ACTGGTTCATAGCAATCATTCTAGGGTACCCATACATGTGACAAAATATAGCAAGCTGCTTGAGATATCCAAACGTTTCTGCGAATGTCTAAAGTGGAGGCACAAACAACTGAATTCGGAGTAGCGTTCCGGGGTTGGCCGACCTAAGGGAAGCTCACTTGGTTGATAACGTACACATCTGCATTGTGGATTTGATTTTAAAACCACTATCTATGAGGTTCACGTATCAGAATGTAGCAGCATACATGATTGGTATCCCTCAGTATTTGAGATATCATTATTACGTAGGCCAGTAGCCTCCAAGAGCATTCGATGAACACTCAGAATTTCCTAAGCTGTACATCGTACGGAAAGTGGTGCAAACCAATGGCCGATGCCCGTCACCCTCCGTTGTGGGTTATGCAACACTGCCAGATTATACATTAGCAAAGTTTGTAAGGCTGGAAGCAGTATTCGGCGTGGGAACGCAAGTAGGGATTAAGCAACAGGGAAAAGATGGAACAATGGAACAATGTTATACTACGGATCAAAACACTAAGGCTTGCGAAGTCCCATAGGATGATTTGTGGGAATAACGTTAGTCCAAATAAGTTGCACAAAAGTGAAAAAGAAGCATCTATAAGCTCACCATATTATTCAAGTGACCACACAGGTATATCCGTCTAACCCGATTTCGTGGGGTTGGTGAGCACGACGTCTGTCTGTGTCTTTTCGTCTCTCAATGAATAGAAATCAGCTCAAGTAATGTGGGTGGTGTAAAGCATCGTCGAGTCGTTTTCTCAAATAGGTAGTGTGGCGCGGAAATGAGAGAAGTCAAAAGGACGTTCCACGGTTGACACAATCGAAGGGAAAAATAATTCCGGTGGCATTCCAACTAACTGTATTAAGTGACAATTTTCAACTTACGCCCCTCCCCAATTCTGTGTTGCAGCAAAACTTCAGGAGGTCTCGGCAATCATGACCGGGGTTTTACAAGCTCTGGAACGCCAGTATGAGGTCACACCGTAGACGGCGATATCTTCCACTGCACAGTCCCAGGGATTTCATTTGCCTATGGTATGGCACATGGTACAACCCCTTCGCATATTTTGCTGCTCATCGCTGTGTGGTCTCCAGCGCAGCCAGGTCGCGATTTAACCAAGGTTGCCAAGCCTGGATCACGTACGTTACACGGGACCTCACGTATGCATTGAGCATTTGAAGAAAGATGGAGGGATCGGACGCACTCTGTAACAATAGATCAACATGTTGGTTCACGGTTCTGGACGCATTCAAGTACTGTGCCGAACAGCCGAGATCGTCTTGCCTCACCACTGCAAGGCCTCGCTCATATGAGGCTGTTTTCAGCATGTCGTCCCCAGGCTTATATGCGTACGTGGGCTTGTGGCGAACATGCACGGTTCTGCATTTGTCCGTGTTTAACGGAAGTAGATTCGCCTTTCATACTTCAAAGGTGTGGTCAAAGTCTCACTGCAGCATATCGTGATCTTCCTGACAGCCAATTGCCCGCCATGTATTGACATCATCTGCAAAATGCAGGATATTTGACTTGATGACACTCGCAAGGTCGCTAATGAAGAACAAGAATAACCGAGACCCGAAATTGACCCAAGTGGAACACCGCAGTCCACACCAATCGGATCAGAAAGTGAACCTCGAACACGAACCTGAAGGCGTCGCTGAAAGTGGAAGTTCCTGATCCATCCAATGACAGGGTTTCCAACTGCGTATGCTTGCAGCTTTTGTAGACGTATGCGGTGAACTATGGGGTCAGAAGCTTTGGAAAAGTCTGCATAGATGACATCAATGGCCGTGCCACTATCGGCTACTCCGGTTTAAATGCAATGATATTGTTGCAGACGCTGTGTAAAGTACAATTTGGCTGGGATGACCCTATAGGCCCATCAGAGGAAAAGGTCTGGAAGCATGTGGTTGACTGCGTGACTGCCCCTGGCCAACTTTCTCTTCCGGACTGTATGAAGAGAAACGGCCATGACTATGCAAAGAACGCCAGACTACGCGTATTTTGTGACGTCTCAGAAACGGGGTACTGCACAGTGGCACACCTGTGTTCCAGGTGCTAGAATAACCGTATTGCTCAGGTATGTTTGTTAAGTCGCGAGTATGCCCTTTGAAATTGATTTCAGTAGGACTTTTGGAATTTTCGGCGGCTGCGCTTGCAGTGCGGACCAATCAGTTAGTGGCAGAGGGACTTAACATTGATCCCCCGGAACACCGCTTTCTCGATGGATTCCCAAACGGTGTTCCATTACATCAGTAATACGGTGATCGGGCTCAGCACCTATATCAGCAACCGGGTCACAATCATACTTGCGATGTCCACTCCCTCCTAGTGGAATCACGTTCGATCGAAAGATAACCCGGTCGACAAGTACGCGTGCCATCTAGGATCCAAGGGAATGGGAAGCTTGGCTACAAGATCCCGAGTTCCTGAGGAGTTACGAATGACGTTTGCGGTTCGTGTGCTCTCCGTCAAATTCGCAACTAAACCTGCAGTTGAAAAGCACTCATCCCAGCATAAATGCGCACGCGATGGTAAAGCATACCAACCCGCCATTGGACCAGTTCTCTGATTGGAAAGGAACTGCTCCTCGGCGACATAAAACTAATCGTGTCCGAAGATGTCTCGTGGGCGATGGCCTCTGGGTGGTGTTGTGATTTTGAGAGTTGTGCTGACGGATTAGTACGGACAGTTTCCGTCAAGTCGCTTTCAGGGGTAGTGAGAAGAGACGTACGACTTTTATGCCGTCTAGAAGGCGATGGATGGCCGATTTTCAATCTCGTCGTGGGTGCAGGATGGTAGTCATGGAAAACGGTTTTCACCAAACGCACTCATGACAATGGAGACGCCAAAGAGGGGCGCGTGTTGGGAGTCATAGAGAAGCGCTTCTTTCATTGTGCACCTTTGCGGTGTAAGCTGTCCCTAGCCTTCACGTCCTTAACAGCTGTGAGCACATGATAGCTAACATAGGTTGAGAGCCAGAGTGGCATCAGTCACTTAAGATACAGATGTGCAGACTAATTTTAGAGGACGGTGTATTCGTAGTTTCTCATTGACTGGAAAATTGGTCATCACATGCACCTTACTTTTCGTTCCGGTACATGACCTAACCGCCACTGCGAAGATCACTAGCGCGCTGAACCATGTCCTCAAAAGCCCCGCTAATGTGATAACTCTGATACCCTCCTCAAATGTACTTGGTAACTGTCCAATTTGCCGTACCCTCACACTCTTGTCCTGCGGTCAAATTCATTCCCTCCCTAACGATATTTGACCTTATTTGATTTGTTCCGTCGGTAACAGATGCCCCGTGCACTATGCGTAATGTCGCTATCTCCAAGGCATGGTAACATAATTACCGCTCAGGTTGTCAAATTTGATATCATTTACTTATATGTGTGCTTTCTACAAACCCCTCATTCTGCGATGGAGCCATCGGCGATTGACCAGTGTTCTTGCTACTCCTTTCACACGTCTGTGGTTTGCTTACTTGTCCTCTGGCTGTCTGTTTGAACAGCGCTTTCCTTCCGGTCGTGTAATTGCATTTTGTTACTGACGGTGATACCCCGGGATCCTGAAGATATGCCTGATTTACTTGATTGTATATCTCTTACTAGTACCGTAGTTGTTGCGATTCAATTTTGTTCTGCTTTTGGGATCATCGGTTACGTGTAATTCAACGTTCGACCGTTGAACGTTACACTGACCAATAAGTGTTTTTGCACACAAAGCACTGGCATACTCCGCCTAATGATACTGGCCTCGGTAAATCGGAGGACCGGGAATTGTTATGGCGAAGCAAGATCCTAAATGCCTTGTTGACCTCAATTCGTTGACCAGATGTCAATAAGTGCTTACCGATCGGAGGTGCCGGCGGTCTGCGCATACAGATAGTCTGACTTGGGTTTGCTTGTTGAATGATCCCGCATTGAACCCATTGTGGTAGATGCTCCTTCATCCGGGAACTCAGTGTTCTATTGACTCTGCCTACGTAAATAGCTCCGCAGTTACCTATGAATTGGTATACGCAGGTACGAATTGAGGTCAACAAGGCGTTTAGGATCCTACTTCACCATACCAATTCCCGGCTCCTCCGGTTTGCCAAGGCTATTGCTACTAATCGGAGTAAGCTAATGCATTGTGAGAAAATAACTAGCCGTCAGCCTCAGGCTGCCCTGGTTGTAAGAGAAAGGCACTCGCTTTTTCTCCCGTTTGCTTTTATGTATGTCTGTACTCACAAACTGTTGTATAAAATTACCGGTTATCGTTATCCGCACTGAGGAGACGATACGTAATGCACGCGTCTGCCGAACTTTGTCCTCTCCTTGTGCTTTTCAAGTTACTAAAAATAACCAACTGTCTTAAATTTGTTTTTTTTACAACAACTCTTATCATCTTTGACTATTAATAAACTATGCTCCACATTAACTGACAACACCCGTCAAATCGGGGTTTGAGCTAATCAGTATGGCGGGTTCAAATACAACAACAATATTATATATAGTATGCTAATCAGTGCCCAAAATAGCATTATGGTTGCGTGAATAGCTTATAGAAGTTCTTCCTTGCATTTTCCCGGTGCACACAGTTTGCGACAATTCGAGAGGCCAAAAGCATTGCGTATTCATCAAGTTCTCACCGAGGAAGTTTGGACTGGTGACCGGATGTATCATCTCCTGTTATTGACTCTTAATGAGTCCTCGGTAATCCCGTTCTCGCGAGTTTCCGATATGCTTGGATATTGCGCTTTTAATTTTTGGGTCAAGTATCAAGAACCATCGAGCGCTTCTCTGTTGTCTAGTTAAAGTAGCACACATTCCTTACGACATATTTTGTTTCACTAGAACGTGGTAGATTGGCCCTCACGTGCAGCGGCCCAACCTCAACTCTTTTTTTTATAGAACTGCGTGTATGCCTTTTTCTTTCACTCATGTAAACAAACTGTGTCACCAGATTCGTTTAATTTTCTCTTTTTCAGCAATCGGGCGTATCTTATGCTTCAAGCAGTGCCTGCGGCGCGCATGGATCAACGCCATGTGGGAAAAGTTTACACGGTATTCACAAGACATTTGCGGCTGATATAAGACCAATCGAATTGTGTTCTCGCAGCTCTAGCCATCCTGCGGCGCTCATGTCAGCAGGTGTATCAGATGCTGGCGATTGCTGGTGCCTACATCCCAACCAGATTCCTATCGACTACTCCGAGCATCCCTGTCGTCCTACCGCCGAAGAGAATCGATGTACGGAAAACCTGCGGCCAATTACTCCTCACTTAGAAAGTTCATTACATAGGCGGATATCCTACGAAGATCAAAGAGCTAGACGGTCTAGCCGTCACCGTAAACTATCAAGTCACAGCAGACGGATGTCCACCACCGAATGCTACACAAAAATTGGTCAGTCGCTTGCGGTGAGCAAAGGACCTGTTCAAGCCGGGCGTTCTAATAGAAGCAGGGCTGAAAATACTGATGTAATGCCACATCGGAAGAACTCAAGGCAAGAAAGCAATCATGCGGCCCGTTTAAGCCAACATGAAACAGCGTCTCTGATTCAGGTTATCGAGTCGTTACGCGAATCTATTGAGACGAGCAACGCTAGACTGGAAATTGAGCTAAATTCTGTTGAACCCGTCAGCAGTGTCCGAATGAGAAAGCAGGCACTCGCTATTTCCACGAACACTAGTTACCACCGAACATCGATAGCGATTAACCGGGGCTCTCGTTTCAAATTTCCCAAGCACGACACTGCCCGACGTACTCCTTTCCACCGTCGAGCAGATGAGCCTGGGCAAAACAGATCGGAAAAGGTAAGTCCTAATGTAACTAAGAAAACTAGACCATATATTTGCCCATGAGATTGGGTCACTGTTTACTTTTCTAAGTTTAACCTCTAACAGGGCATTTGTAAGAGGACTTGTTCAAATCCATGAGAATTTTCTCGTTGTTGTCATCACGAAAGTGGTCGCATGAAACTGTACTTACGGAATACCGTACTACTGGAGCTATTAGAGATTAGGTCTGTCCGACTTCATCGAAATTGGATGGAAAACACAAAGACCAACAGTTATTCATCAGTAAGTCTTGTGGTCTTGTTCTTAGTTGCATTGCAAACATGCGTGACTCATGGTAACAAAGCATTCACAAATGTAATATATCATAGTCAGCAAAAAGACATTTACTAAACCAAATACTTGTGGAATGTGACTACACGATTAATCTGAACTACTGCATATATTTTGTCTTGAGTATATTTTTCTGTAAGCTATTACATATGTTGGCCACTCGTCACTCGAAGCACAGAGATGGACAACTCGCTTAAGATACATGTAAAGCTCGTACCGTGTTCGGGCGTTCTGCACGGTGTGTGTACATTAAATAGCGTTCTTACCGATATGTAGGAAGTAGTTATTTATCATAAGGTAGACTAATACCTACTGTTCAGGTAGGGTGTTGATGCAGTAATCTCTGTTTAACGATGAGTCGGTAACATCTATGAAAACGCACGGTTTGGGATGTGAGAATTAAGGGCTGTGGACAGAGCAAATTGTACTGACGTAACAGCGGATCTACATAAGTGATTATGAAGCAGAATGGAATCGTATAATTTAGGAATAGGTGAACAGACCCGCGATTAGGTACAGAAATATATCCACGTCTTCAGCTCGAACAGGCGCAGACTGTTCAAATGCGAAATATGTGGCGCTTTAAACCAAAGCGTCCGAATATTTGTGCAATACAAATTGATATCCGTAACTAACCAAAACAAATGAACGTTGTGCAATAAAGTCTAAGAGGAAAGTGGCAATAAGCAGTGCATCAGTTACCTCAGATTCTAGATGCGATCGATAGCCGAAACCTGTCTGCGCATTATGGTTACCAATATGAAGCGACCCACAAAGAAGCCTAAGCGCTCGGGCATTGGTCGGAATGGCATCAAGCGACGCCATGGATTGTAACAACTAAATAACAACGCAAGAACCCGTATCCAGGTCGATAGTAGTATGGGGCTTTCCTTCATGCAATAAAGATTTACTAACTGGTATCCAGTCTTCCAATTGCCCTGGTGCGTTTCATTCTAAGTGTTCCAAGCTCACAGTAAATCAGCTGAAAGAAGGTATGTAAACGTAAACCAGGTACACTGTGGTTATATGCTGTATCTATGGTCATCCCAATGGCAAAGCTTGTGCACGAATTATCGCAGAAACTCGAAACACCGGTGGCAATTGTTGAACAGATGAGGAACACCAAAATGAGTACGTCTAAAGAAAGCATGACAGACAGCAAACCCCAGTCATTCCCATTATGCTCCGCAGCGTCTGTGCCTCCAAGTCCTCTGGATCATTCCAATCCAATAAGGGGACAAGCTTCAAACCTGCCTGCTTCAACTTCTCTCAGCAGTGCAGGCCACAACAAGTCAGTGGCTATAAAGGCAGCTCCGAGCCCGAGTTCGTTCACCATAGAAAAAGCCGGGCGTCGTACGCATCAGTTGCCTCCATGCAAAGGCCAGACAGAACACTTTTGATTCCGGTAACAGCACCGAGCAACATTAGGGTGATGCAGCCTTCATAAACAACCAAACTGTTTAAAACGGTATCAAATAATACCTTCAAACATACACCTAACAGGTGAAATCACGCTGCTTTGACTGGTGTGTGAACAAATGTTCCATAATCGCAGTTTAATACCATAAAGGGGAAGCTGATGGATGACCGTAATCATTGGAATTCCATTTGTGCTGAAACGGGTATCTTGGTTGAGCCCACGACACTGATACGCGTCCGAAGTCACCAAAATTCAGTGCATTATCCTGAACCTGGACTTCTGCGGGTGACACTGAGTTTCCCCGGTGACACAGAAGCCGTCCTACCATCTTCGTTTCAGCTCCGTAACTCATCACATGAGGTGCGCTCATTTCCGTATATCACTTGAAACGAAAGCTCGAAAGAGTATATCAAGCGTGAGGATGCTCATAAATCTGACAAAAAGCGGACGACTATTGATTATGTTATTCCTGAGCTTCAAGTAACCTCCTCTGAGGAAGCGAATGAACACGACCGGGAGAAATGCAGTTACATCCACCAGAAACATTCCCTTGAAAATATCCTTGCAAAGCGTTTGGTAGGAATTCCAGTATTAACCCACTGCAAGGGAAACGGTCCCCGGTTGATGAAAGTGCTGCTTCAGGTTGAGCTAATGACACCGCTTGTTTTGAAAAACTGGTCTAAACTCCGCAAGTGGCTGCCTACTGAAATTCGGTTAAAGGCAGCTTGTACACGGCCACGAGCAGCTAACGACTCATTGGAGACGACCAAGTTGATGTATCTTCCCCTCATACAGTTCGCTGAAGGGATTAATTTAATAGAAACCACAGCATCAGACGTAATATGTCTAAACACGGAAGTCCATCAGGGCCAGGACAGCTGAGAGCAGTTATACAACCCAACCGAAGTTCAAAGACTAAGGACTCCTTAAAACACAGTTAGCGGCTCGCCCCTCAACGGTCGGCACAATCTCCAATCTTAGTCCAACATCCAATGATTCACTCTCGCTTACTGAGAGACTGACGTGCTTGTGTGCTAATGCACAAGACCTTATTAGTAAGTCGGTCGAAATCTATCACCGTCAGGCTCCTGAGCCACGAGATATCATGCAGATCACCGAAACGTGGCTGAGCTGTAAAATTACCAACTTTGAGATCTCTCTACCTAGTATGTCACTTCGCCGGAACGATAGAACAAATTGGGTAAGGTGAGTGATCATTTCTTACAAAACAAACCTTCGCTGTGATCTCATAGATGATCCTCAGCCATGTGTCACTGATCTCCTTTTGTGCAAACTATGGTTGAAGGACAACGATACATGCCACGTGTCCGTAGTTTACCGACCACTCAAATCCACTCCGGAAATAAACCACGGACTAATATCGAAATTTCGCATTGTGATAGATCAGCAGGAGATTGTAATATTGCTGACCTGGAAACTCCATCAACCGAGGGGAACAGTTCAATGCCTATTTGCAAGAGCTAGTCTCTAGTACACTCATGTATAACCACGTCACCTCTCACACCAGGTTCAGAACAGCAAATAAGCCACCAATGTTAAACCTTGTGCTAACCAGCAAGGAGCTCCTGGTTGATGGGCTCCTGGTTGATGGGCAGTCGAAGCCAGCATGTAACTTTACTGTTCGATTATATTTGCTACGCCGAATACCCAGTTGCAGAGCCAAACAAAAGCAGTCTACTACGCATTCTCGCGTCCTGTCCGCATTCGTTAAAAACCTTAGTTAGACATACATGACTGAATGCACCACAGAAATATCCTGGGAAAACTTCTTGAAAACTTTCACGTCACTAGTCACAAAACCATCAAACCAAAATACTTCTGAAAAGCTGAACGCAAAAATTTATGGCTTTGTGGGATCGGGCATGGCGGGTTTGTAAAAACTATCCCAGCTCCGAATATTGGACAAAGTACATAGCGCAGCGCAACTAATCTGTGCAGTTGTTTCGTGAAGACGAGATAGCACACCAACAGGTGCTAGCAAAACGGTTCTGTTCCAACTAAAAACTTCTTTACAGACATATGGATAAAATTCGTAAGGTGCAGCACAGAATCCCACCACTCACCACGGTTTATGGGTGTACACACACAGCGAAACAGCCGGCCAACTTCTTACGGGCCTAGTATTCACCTAATTTCTAAGGGTTACAAGCCTCGAACGCTAGTCCTGCTTCAGTTATCGCACCATCAGAGTGACCATGCATCACACTGACAGCAGAAACGAGGCTGAAAAAGTTGCTATCATTGCATACAAACAGCGCTCCTGGAGTGGAGAACATTCACCCTAAAGCAATACAGGTAGCATTCATGCATCTAGCCCAACCACGTGCTGGATTCTTTTAGCGTTGTCTAGACGAATACCAAGTTCCGCCAAGCTGGAAAGTGGGTATTCTTACCCCCATTCACATGCGAAGAAGTCAAGCTGATTCTGTTAAGTATCGCCCGGTAGCGGTTCTCCCAGTGTCTTCCAAAGTAATGGAAACGGTTATCGCGGATGTACTGATGGGCTATCTGGAAAGCTACGGCATTTTTGCGTTGAAGAAGCATTGGTTAAGTCACCATCGATCATGTGCTACAAATCCGATAATACCACATCACAAGGGGATCAGCGCAGTTGATGAGGGGAGAGGAAATTCGTCACATCTAGACTCATTCAGACAGCCGTCACACACCCGGAAAAGCACTATACATGTGTTTCATGCTTCCGGGAATCGTCTGCAGTGCGCATTCCATCGGATCCTGATAGGGCTCGAGCCCGCAACTCGACTATTGCCAGTCCGTGGTTGAGACCACTGAGCTAGCCAGGGATGGCAACGACCATCGTAAATAAGTTACTACTTACTCATTATCCACTGACTTACAAGTTACTGCCTACAATCGCTTGGATCAGCTAATTTTGCTTCACAAACTTCAGCACTACAGCGTCGGAGGTCCAATATTAGGATGGGTTAGTACCTGTCTCCGCGAACGGTAACTGGAGACAAGGGTCCAAACATCACTGACCAACCCTATACGAATGGCGTGCGGCGTACCGCAAGATTTGGTACATTGGCCTCGACTGTTCTTAATTTTCGCCAACGATCCAGCGAGATTTATCTCGTCAAAATTTTTACCCCTCGCGGACAACGTTAGAGTTTGGCGGGCGTCAAGTGAATAGACGACCACGAGATCTTGCAGCGCAACCTCGTTGAAGCATGGAATTGGTCAGTGAGTAAAGCTATGTCGTTCAACGTGGACAAGTGCCGCG